GTGGTGAAGAGTGATCCGTCTTCGGCGGTTGGTTTTCTCGATTTCTTGGAAGACAACTGGCCAACAAATGGTTGTGTACCACTCAGAATTGACTGTTCTGCGTTTTTCTAGTGGTACGGTTGCGGCATGTCCAGTTTTTCCGAAAAAACAGGCGACCATTTGCTTGGAAGTGCTTCGTGCTTGAACAACTTTTGTTGGATTTGGCTCATCTTTAAACACCCATACAGTCGACTGCTGTTTACTTTCGGACTCATACGTGTAAATTCCCGATTCATCACCTGTCACGATGTCATAGACGTGTTTCGAAGCACCGCGATCGTACTTTTCCTTCGATCAATCGACGCGAGCCTTTTTTGAGCAATTGACAAATTTTGTGGGATCCAACGCGAACAAATGTTTTTGACAGACAAATGTTTATGCAATATTGAATGTATGCTGGTCCCACTAATGCCTAAGGTTGTCTCAATCTCACTATAGGTCACATGACGATCATGTCGTGTACAGCATAAATGGTTTTCGAAACAACTGATTTTGGACGACCTTCAAGAAATTCGTCTTGGAGAGAACTACGACAACTATTGAATTCGCTTTATCATCGATAAACAATGTTCCTTGATGGAGCTTCTTCTCCAAAAATTGAAGTGAGTTCATCCAATCACTGTTGATGAGTTAATCCACGTCGAAAAATAATGGCACGAAAATGTTCACGATTTAATTCCATTTTTGGGCCGACATGAATCTTTTAAGTTACTGGAAACATCACAAATAGCGCGCATATATTAAAACGTTCTGAGTACGTATAAGCTCAAAAATGTACAACTTTACGATAGAGCTGTCAGTTGCCAGATTGCAGCACTAGGATTGCAAAATCCCGAAACATAAAAGGCAACCCTCGTATTACTCATTATTTTTTATTATAGCATTGCTATTCGCAAGGCCCTGCAACGTTTTCATTTTTGATGACAATTACAATTTTAAGTTGAATAAATACATTTCGTACTGTACAAAACTTCCACAATATAGACAGATTAATTCAAAACACAAAAAAATCGAGCATTTACACCACTTACACTAATAACGATTACTTACTGGTAGGCTACGAATTTCATATATCTGATGACGTCACGCCCCGTTTCGCTTAACCACTTATTTGAGGCTGTTCTCTGAAGGATACAATTCACTAAAGAATTCATCCATCAATATTATCGACGTTACGTGTCAATTTCATGTTTGAAACTTACCAAAAGTGGAAATGACACTATTGCTTGCAGAAGCTATTGGCATAGTGAGACACGGGCGGTTGTTTTGTGATCTATTCAGTGAAAATCTCACGATAAAGTGCTGCTCAAACAAGAAAATTTAACGAACACACGTTACAGAAGAATTTTATTGGCATTTGGTCGAAAATAGCGAGACATGAAAATAGTCTATTAATTGAAACGAATTCGGTTATGTCTCTGACATATAAAAGTCAATATTTGTTGATGCATCAGCGCTTAGTCATTATCTTCTTATATCTTTCATTAACCTCTACCCATCAAGCCCTTAATGAACACCTATGCATTTCACGTTGAGTAATAAGAGACTGGAAAGGATATCGAATTGATTTTCTTAGATCGTACGCAAGTTTGTTGCAAAGACAACTGCATGTTTACTTTGTTCATTTTTTAACATTGACTCAGTGCGATAACATTGTTATTGATTTATTATTTTTCAAAGGCATTGTTGATGTTTGCACACTTGAAAACCAGATGTTTCGCATTTAAAATTCTTGTTGATTTTCAGAACTTGCAATTTTTTTGTAAAAACTACATTTTAATGAGTCGTTTTGGGTCGCATTACTTCAAAGTCGGGAATTGGGAACGAATGTTATTCTGTATACGAGACAATTTGTAGTAGACGGAATTTATAAAGACATCTTGAAAGCAATTTGGTTCCGTGCCAATTCAGCTGTAATTGTAACGTTGAGAAAAAATAAATTCTGTAGCTTTTCAGGATGGAATTTTTGTGGAAGATGAAAAAATTCACTCTTTTACGTTTAGGTTCCGTACAGATGTTCATATGAGTTTCTATATTTGACAATGACAATGTCTTTCATTACAAATTATTAATACAGTAACCCGTTACTTAATGGAAAATAATACTATTCATGATATGAATTATACAATTTTCACACTGAAAATTTAATCTAAGACGTGTTTCTCTACATTGTAGCTTCATCAGTACTGGTATATCAAACTGTTCTACAATGTCTTTCATGAAACAGTGGACAATTACAATCAGATGGTTAATTCTGATTTTGAAAAAAAACATGACAATACAATATTATTTCTAGGAAAATAGGTAATTTATAAATATGTTAGTTACTAGCATTTTACTTCTAGGAAGTAATTTAGGAAAACAGGTAATTTATGAATATGTTAGTTATTAGCATTTTATGCTAAAATAATCAGATAAATAACTGTAATAACTGTTCATAACACGATATTGCATGTTATTTATAACAATCAAATAATTTATTGTTATTTTCACCTCATCATTTGTGAATACTCTTTTTGGGTTTGTTTCGTTTTGTATTCCACTGAAAAAAATAAATAAATGGTTAATACTGGCAGAACATGTAGATTTTGATGAAACAATTACAATATTACTTCTAGGAAAACAGGTAATTTATAAATATGTTAGTTATTAGCATTTTACTTCTAGGAAGTAATTTAGAAAACCAGGTAATTTATGAATATGCCAGTTATTGGCATTTTATGCCAAAACTCATTTAGATAATTGGTTAATACTGGCAGAACATGTAGATTTTGAGAAACCAATTACAATAAAATATTACTTCTCGGAAAACAGGTAATTTATAAATGTTAGTCATTTGGATTCGATGATTCTATTATAATAGTATATTAATTCTAGGAAAACAGGTGATTTATAAATATGTTAGTTATTAGCATTTTACTTCTAGGAAGTAATTTAGAAAAACAGGTAATTTATGAATATATTAGTTATTATCATTTTATGCTAAAGTAATCAGATAAATAATTGATATTGGCAGAACATGTAGATTTTGATGAAACAATTACAATTACAATATTACTTCTAGGAAAACAGGTAATTTATAAATATGTTAATTATTAGCATTTATCTTCTAGGAGGTAATTTAGGAAAACAGGTAATTTATGAATATGTTTGTTTATGCTAAAATAATCAGATAAATAATCAATATTGGCAAAAAAGCTAGATTTTAATAAAAAAATTAGAATGGAATATTACCTGAAGAAAACAGTTAATTCATAAATATTTCAATTATTGCCATTTTAAGCCAAAACTCATTCAAATAATTGGTTAATACTGGCAGAACATGTAGATTTTGAGAAACCAATTACAATAAAATATTACTTCTAGGAAAACAGGTAATTTATAAATGTTAGTCATTTGGATTCGATGATTCTATTATAATAGTATATTAATTCTAGGAAAACAGGTGATTTATAAATATGTTAGTTATTAGCATTTTACTTCTAGGAAGTAATTTAGAAAACCAGGTAATTTATGAATATGCCAGTTATTGGCATTTTATGCCAAAACTCATTTAGATAATTGATTATTACTGGCAAACCAGGTAGGATTCGATTATAATAGCTTATTACTTCTAAGAAAACAGGTTGATTCATAAATATTTAAATTATTGGCATTTTATGCCGTAAGTTAATTAAGATGAGTGATTAATACTGTCAAAACAGGTAAATTTTCTTAAAACAATTACAATTGAATATTACCACTAGGAAAACAGGTAATTTGTAAATACGGCATCAAAACTCGAATTTATTGTGCCTATACTGTGCTAACAGAGATTTGGAAATGTTCATTCGAACACGTTTTTTGTCTAATGTGAGCAAATGCGGCACCCAACGCGCGGACAGCTTCCTCATGCCTAAATGCTGATTAAATATGTGACAAACACATTCTTTTGACATTTTCATAACCTCAGCCATGACTCTCACTTCAATTCGGCGGTTGTCTAGCACCATTTGGTGAACTTTGGCGATGTTTTCGTCGGTAGTTAGATTGAACTGTTCAATCTAAAGAGTTATCAGATTGAGACCTAGAGAGAACTCATTACAAGACCTGGGGAGTAGGCAGATTGAGGTCCCGGCGTCAAGTCACATCAAATTCTTGAAAATGGCTTCAAAATGGGGACCGAAACGTCGAATTCAAAACTCCAGACGCGGTTCAACCCGAACTCAACGGCAACATACAACTGACCGCTGAAACCTATCTGAACACACATGCTGGCTTCGAAAACGTTTTTCATGATTTTTTCAATGAATGATCGCGTGTCGTTGCACAGCCGTGGTGGACTCTAATTACGGAGCGATCCAACCTTCAGTTGTAAATTATGCGGTGGCATGCCTGGCAAATCCAGACAGTTCAAAAACTCTGTTGGATTATTCACAGCTTCGGTGGCATCGCAAACTGTATCTACGCTTGAAGTATAAACATTAGTAGCGGTCGAAAACTGTGTAGAAAGTGAGAGAAGGCGAAAAGGCTTATTGTTTGAGAGAGGTAGGAGACCGGCTTCGTTCTCATCTCTACTCCGTGCTGTTTATTGAGTGAGAAGTTACGCCGGTAGATGCCTGATCTATGATCAGGGTTAAAAATGATTGAAATACTAAAATGGCTATTGAAAAATTGGGGTTATATGTATTTTTAATGCTACATTATAAAACATGAAACAGAAAATTTTGTCCAAAACAAAAAAAAGTTTGAAAATTAGTGTAGAGAACCAGTCAAACTGAAGAAACTACTATTGTAGTAGAACGCGTATTGGGAATAAAGTATATATTGTGATAATTTGTTATTATCATCATGATTCTGATTTATGGAAGCTACGCAGGTTACGCCAGTTTTGAATAAGACATTTGAAAACCGCTTTTATATTATACGTTGTGGCTTGGGATTCAAAGTATATGCTATCACTATTTTTGTGTGTTTTATAGCGGTGATGTGGATTTGGATCGACACACGGCTTTATCCAATACGGATTCGGGTAGCTCGTCGAATTCCAGTATATCCTGCAAGTAAGTAGCTAGCTAGTGCTTCAAAGCTATTGTTTGCTTGCTTTTTGTTAACGCTTACATTTTATACCGCTTTGTGGAAAATCCCAGCAAAATCTTGAAACCATTATTTTTTTTAGTTATTTGTTGCAGTTTATCTCTGAAACTACAACATTATCACTAATTAACACACATTTGAGGTGTCATATGATTATTTGTGAAGAAAGCCCAAATACAAATCTCAAGCATTTAAAAAAAATTGGATTGGTTGGAATTTATGTTTCTCACAGACTTCATCATTGAAACTATTGCATGTCAAAGGTCGAATATGCTATAGAAATAATTATCTTCCACTGCATATTGAGTAACGGAGGAAATTACAGTGAAATGAATGAGTTATTAATTTTCTAGTGAATGATTCATGATGTTAGTGTTTCATACATAAAATCCAATCACTGAAGGAACATTTTTTTTTTATTTGTGATCAACTTTTTTCGGATAATTCAGTATTCTCAAATGTTTTTTTTTCGTCTTCATTTCAAATCATCTGCCTTCGAAGATAATATTTATATTCCAAGTATTTCTAGTCTTCCTTTACTGAATTTTAATCGGAATTATTTTCTTTATAAATTGTTTCTCTGCTAGATTAAAATTGAACATTATAGACCGTGCGTGATTTTTCCGTTTATATTTCAAGGGTATAGTTTTCTTCAAAAATAACTATTGGACGAAATAAATGAAGATTTAAAACCTCAACACTCCAGTTTGAGATTATTTACTATTTTTGGCTGTGTAGATGAAAATGAACTACTTTGATCTGTAAAAAAACTTTTGAGGAACATTCAAATTTGAAATCATGTTTTTAATAAAATTCGGAAAAACTCTTCAATGGGAAAATATGAATGAATACGTAATTCTCGATTACGATGCTCATGCCTTAAACTATTCAAGGCACTATTAGCCCTTGAGTAGAAATATGAAAAACGGAAATAACACTATCAGCAACACATCAAGCGCGTTCAATCTTGAAATTTAAATAAAACGAAGTGTGTATGAGATATTACCGAAATTTTTTATTCGTTTGAAAGAACTATTGATGTGATTAGGTGTAGAATAATCAACCAATAAGTCCCCCCACTACTTTCATTCATGAATTCACAAAGTGACCTAGAAACGAAGTGCGGAGCCAATTTCGTTCTTTTACGATAAGCGTGCGCTGATATAAAAACGGAATTTAAGGATATTATAGAAGATTTTGTGGTGAGTTACTTATAACCAACTACAAAAACTAAAAACAATAATAACAACAGCGAATAAACTGAACACAATATCAATTTTCGACCGTTCATTATGACCAATCCGATGCCCGTGGTACCGTCGAGTCCGTTGATACTACAGCACGATCTTGGTGACCCTCAAATCGCTCATGCAGAATATCCAAACATACCTGATAAATGACAAATAATTTGACATGTTCCTTCAACAAGATGGCCTGTTAACAATTGTCAAAGTTCAGAAATCCCTGTTGGAAGACTATATAGAAGCAAGTCCAAGAGAGGAATTTGGACTCACTGATGAATACGAGTTTCTATTTAAATTGAAACTAAAGTAACTTACTTGATAGTTGATGGAGAGAGCAAAACAATGCACAAATTGAGATTATCACAAAATCCATTAGAATTGATACGTTAACAAATATAGTGCATATCTAACCCCAGAGAGTCAATTATACGTGCAGCTCTCAAAATAAGGTTGAATCTTTCATCACCAGCCTCATGAAGCTCCATAACCAACAAATCTGCGAAAGATCTGGAACGAAGTATCTTGTATGGAATATTAAATTTCCTCTCGTAAGGTACCACAGGAAACTGAACAGTAATTAGTTAGCAAGTTGTTCAGAAGCGAAAAAGAAGAGTTTGAAGAAAATTCTGAATCCTAGTGAAGCAGAAATAGCCATTTTTCAGTATTCTTGGGTATAATAAAAATGTTTATGTTCGTAGGCAACAATTCACAAAATTGGGCCTTTGGCCCGATATTCACAAAGTTACCTGGGATCGTAAATAAACATTTAGGAACGATTTGCTGTTCACTTTGAATTCGAAGAAGGGAACTTTATTCGTTAATTTTTTTTTTAATGACGAATCTGATCTGATCAATACCTAAACAGAAAAAGTCTATTGTAACGTGTGATGAAGGCAATATTCCGCAGATAGCAAATTTGATCACTGAAAAGAAAACCGAAATTATGGTGGACAGAATGTTTGTCATAATAGATAATTTTAGATCCTCAGTTGTGTTGTTTTGTTGATTTTGATTTGTACAATGAATATCTTCATCAGGCCATATCCTTGACGAACCGGTCTACAGGCATGCAGAAATCAATGTTACCACATCGTGTTTTGTAAATGCAGTGGTTCAAACATGACCTATATCGTTTGGTTAATAAATCAATTTTATGCGATTTGTTTATTCTTCTACCAATATTTCATAATCAATGGTTTGGCGTAACCTCAACTGCTGTAACACTTTATCTCCGAATAGTTGAGAATGTTATATAACAACGTTATTATTATCAGGTATGTTATTAAAACAATTATGTTCAGTGGCTTTATTAGTTTTGGAAAATATACGTTGTTTGCTATATCCTTGCAAATAATCGAAATAGATGAATTATAAAAGAGAATGATGTAGTGATTATTTAAAAATTTCATGGATGGTTAAAAAAGAGCAAATGTGTTTTTGTAAAAACGCCCCTTACCAGGAGGGGTACCGTTATTCTGATTTATAACATCACCATGAAATTACCAACATTATATGGCATAAACCTTTGAACAAAATATGCAGTTTTCATTTTTAACACACTACATCTCCAAAACTAGGGAGATTAATTTCCAAAACGTGGGAAATTTGGACATATGTTTATGGGATCTCTTCTTTTCAAACAAGAAATCACGTTTTGAAATGAGAGACAGTTCTTCAAAACGCCGCGCCGTATATACCCGAGCATTATAGCTAGAGACTAGGCATTTAAGTTTTTATAATAAGGGGCAGGAAAAGCTTGGAATTTGATAGCTTATCACCTCATATATTTATTTTATAACTTTAATTTCAATAAAATGAACATTATGAAAAGATAGTGCTTTTTAAGAGATATGCCGAATTGACATTTTACACCTGGTACTCCATAGAGATTGAACTACTTCCTCGGCTAATACCACGCTGGATATTGAATTGTATCCTGCAGACATTTATGCAATATATATTGCAGAGGTTAGTCTCGCTAGATAAACGAGAAACATCTGTCTCGCAGGATGAATGAAAAACCTCTGGGTGACAAACATCTGATGTGAGGTATCTTGCATAAATATCTGTCGAATATAATTCAATGTCCAGCATGGTATTAGCTTTGAAAGCAGAAATGTAATTTTTCTGAACTTCTGTTACCCGTTGGGCATAAATGGGTTAAAAACAACTAAAATTATGTTTTGCGTATATTTACGCTCATGAAAGAGGTTTCATGGGTTTATATTTTGATCCTCTTTGATATAATATGCAACACATAGAGGATTTTGAAGAAGTGTTTTTACTAAACTTGAAAAAAAAATGATTCTAGATTTTTATAAAGTTTCATCTTGAAAAAATAAAAAGATTCCGAGTAGTTCATAACTAAGCAATGTTTCAATTTAGGGCAGTGATATTTGAAAGTTATTCAAAAGTAATTGTAACTTTAAGGTTTTTTCAAACATAATAGGTTGTTCAAAAGTTTTCTCCCTTTTTATGAGTCTACTTTAAACGTGAGTTTGAAGTAGACGTGACGATCCGATCCAAAATTGGATCGTTTCCTTTGCGCAAAACCAAAAAAACAGACCTGACACCCACGTTTCGATCTTTTTGACTTTTCCAAAACGATTTAAACTATTAAAACCCATGGGAGCTGACGCCCAGTTCTTCTACCATTCCACGCACCATTTGTGATGGGTCAGTCTCCACCAGGGTCCTCAAATCCTCGTCCTGGATTACTGTAGGTCGACCACTTCGAGGCTCATCTTCCAAGCTAAAACCTCCGTAAAGAAATTTCGCAAACCAACGTCGAACAGCGCGTTTTTTAACACCATCATTGTCATATATCTAGTTAATTTTTTGGGTTGTTTCGACAGCGCTTTGGTTCAATTTGAATTTGTAGAGAAATATTAGCAAAAAATCGCTCAGCGACATCATATAGTAATGAGCTGAAAAAAGGCAAAAAATTGAAATCTGGAAAAAATGAACAGCATCAATGTTTAGATTACAACATTATCTATCGATCAGTATTTTTTGCGATATGGAGCTACAAAAACAAATGATATTTTGTCAGAAAGTCCGAGCAACAGTATAGATGCAGTGGTCCAGGCGGCAGCACTACGTGGTACTGTCGACTCAGATAGCGATATCGATGCTGAGTCGGAGCAGTGGCAAAGTTTGGTCCCACCTGAAGAGCTGAAAAATCTACCTGCCCACGAGAAAAAAAGGCAAGATGTGATAAACGGTGAGTAATAGACCATGTCAGATGAGAATTTCATTAGGAGCATCTGTTTTATGTTGGCTACACTGTGTACCTGTCATTAGTGTCAGTTGTCATTTTAATTTCGGTTCCGTGGTGGCCGTGTTGAATTTTGAATATTTATATTTGCATTCTTCTTACCTGAAAAATCATTTAGTGAAATTAGGCTAACCAGAAATTCTGAGAATAGCGACGAAAGCTTTTAACTAACATGAGAAAAAGATTCATTACTTGCTTATAAGTGTGGACATTTTCCTTAAAAAATACGCCATCTGTGGTAACAACAGACTACTCAAAATACATTTTTGCAATCGGAAAAAGCTTAAAAAGCATAGTCACTGGTTTACATGCAACTACCAAGGTTCCAACGAATTAGTGTGACATAATTTAGGTTTATAATTACTTAGATTTTGTTATCATGTGACGAACTTTTGAAAAGTGTCAATTTTTCACATCCATCGGAAGATCTACCACAGATGCTCATCTGTGATTGATATTGAAGGTGTTGAGTAATGGATTCTTGTCTATGTAAAATTGAAAACTGTATTTTTCAAGAAGACCTACGAGTTCAATGATTGAATATGGGGCTTGTGAACAACTCCCCAGGCTCACTTGTCAATGAAAATTGAAAACGTGGGTTATCTGTGATTGATATTGAAGGTGTTGAGTAATGGATCCTTGTCTGTGTAAAGTCGAAAACTGTATTTTCAAGAAGATCTGTGAGTTCAATAATTGAGTATGGGGTTTGAGAACAACTCTCAAGTAAATCTATTTCCCAGGCTAACTTGTCAATGAAAATTGAAAGCGTGGGTCATCTGTGATTGATATTGAAGGTGTTGAGTAATGAATCCTTGTCTATGTGAAATTGAAAACTGTATTTTTTAAGAAAATCTATGAGGTCAGTGATCGAGTATGCGGTTTGAGAACATCTCTCAAGTAAATCCATTCTCCAGGCTCACATGTCAATGAAAATTGAAAGCGTGGGTCATCTGTGATTGATATTGAAGGTGTTGAGTAATGGATCCTTGTCTATGTAAAATTGAAAACTGTATTTTTAAGATATATGACTTGAATAATTGAGTATGGGGTTTGAGGCAAATATATGACTTCAATCATTGAGTATGGGGTTTGAGACAAACTCTCAAGCGAATCCATTTCCCAGGCTCACTTGTTAAGGAAAATTGAAAGCGTGGCTCATCTGTGATTGATATTAAAGGTGTTGAGTAATGGATCCTTGTCTATGTAAAATTGAAAACTTTGTTTGTAAATCCATTCTACAGGCTCACTTGTCAATGAAAATTGAAGGCGTGACTCATCTGTGATTAATATTGAAGATGTTGAGTAATGGATCCTTGTCTTTGTAAAGAAAGACACAAAATCATAATCCTACAATAAACAATCATATAATTAAGGCGCCTATCAATGGTCATAGAATAACAATTGTATCGAGGCTAATGTAGCATCAATCGTACTATATACACAATAGTTGTTGAATAAATAATTGACCACTATCATTGTTTGTTGAAATTAAAAGTGCCACTATCAGAAACCCACGTTACAAAAAATATATTTCTTATTTATGCCTTACCACTTTTTTGATCCTCATTACTTTTCTGCCCAAAACTATATTGTAGATTTTCCTAAAGTGTATGACATTCATTCCAGAACTTTTCCACACCGAAAGTTCCCATGTGAGAAACCTCAAAGTGTTGTACAAAATATTCTACAAAAAAATCCAAGAAAGTCAAACTCTCAAACCTGAAGAACTGAACCTAATCTTTCCGAACATCAAAGAAATGTTAGACCTCCACATGGAATTCAACAAGGAAATGAGGAGGCGGCGGAAAGAGGATCCGATCGTTAAAGAGCTGGGTCATATGTTGGGGAACATGTTCGGAGACCTGTATGGAGAGTCGTTGAAGAAGGCTGCGGCTACCTTCTGCGAGAGACAGCAACTGGCGCTCGAGTTTATCAAGAAGAGGCGGGAGAGAGACTCTAAGTTCGATGCTGTGTTGATAGAATGCGAGAAGAAAAGACAGTGCAGGTAAAATCTAGTTAGAGGATATATTTTTGAGTCGTTTGAAAGCAGAAATGTAATTTTTCTGAACTTCTGGCAATTAATCACCTATCAGTATTTTTATTATTTGATATCAACATGAGGTTTATTTCAAACATAAGCCCAAGTGTGATTTCGAGACAGTTTTTTGCTATAAAATGATATATCAACATATGTATACTACTCTGTTCAAAAAGTAAGGTGAATTTTAAATTTTTCTTAAAAAATATTTATTTATTCATCAATTTTTTATTTTGTTCCGTTCTAAGTAGTCGTCCTCAGATAGAATAAACTTGTGTCAGTATTTTCCCAATCCTCAGCGATTCAGTTTTTATCTTCTCAATCGTTGTAAAACGCCGTCCTTTCATAGGTTACATCAATCTTGAGAATAGGAAAAGTCTCAGAGGGGCAAATCTGATGAATACGGTGGCTGATGCATGATTGCAGTGTTTTTTGTTAAAAAAATTACGCCCTGGGGCGTCCAGGGCGTCATTCATATCTTCTTGACCTCATGTAAAAAGCTTGTACCACTTGTGAACATTTTTCTGACTCGACAGTACAATCACCATATGCTTTTTACCTTTGAAGAGCTTTTTTTCGAGCACTTGATTCTTACAGAAAATTGGATGCCAATTCTTTGATCCGTTTTTTTCAAAAGCAAAAAATCGCCCAACACGAAAAACACTTCTTACTTTTGTGCCTCTCGCCAACAAACTAATCATGATAAACAGCTGAAACTGTGAACATATGTCCGAGACGAGTGTACCAACTTAAACAAATGAAAAAATATCTAATTGAGTGTACTTAGCCCGCTAAATTTCAACACTCACTTTATTTTTTGGACAGACCTCTTATTTTATTTTTATTTCTGATTTCATGGTAGTAGATATTGTGATTTATTGGGGATAGTTTGTTTTTTCTGTTTAAAAGTATGTATGATGAGTATGGCAAGGCAAGGCATGGCAAGGTTAACATTCAAAACTTTCCAAACAAAACAATTTTTCACATGATGTGAGAGGTTTCCCAATATTTTTTCTACTCAATAAATGCATCATTTGTATAGCTTATGATCTTCAGAAAATTTTAGACAATATGGCAAAGCTCTTTGAATATGGGGACAATTTACCATTTTGAATATATCAAAACTTACTCTATTTCGTAATAGCTTAAATAAAAAACAAACGGCTCAATTTGGCTAATAATCAATGGACTTGTTTTATGATTTTTGGTTTACAGTTCATTTGGTAGTAATTTCAAATTTAAAAACTGTGTACTTTGTTTCAGCTCTTTAAATAACGTTGTTTTCGTGTAATTAATTATTAAAAATAGTTTTTTCTAGGCCCGTGACGTCACGAGCCTAGTCCCGCTTGTTGTTCGGTTGACCAATAGGAACAAAGCAAATAATGAACATTGCCAAATTGTTAAATTCACGGAGAGTTTAAACAGTTTCTGATTCATTCGTGATTCAAAGTAAAATTACACTCACTTCTGACAACTAAATCTAAGAAGAGAGTGTATGAAATGAATTGGAAGGGAGAATTGATTATACATGGGATCCAAATAACACAAAACGCAATAAAAACGTTATTTTTGAAATATCTCCGACAGTAGACATGTTCATGTTGATATCACAGAAATTTTAATAATGGAAGTGTATATGAACCCGTTAACGTTTAAATTCATGAAAAAATTCTTCATATGAAACGAAAGGTACTCGAAAACCATGGTCCTAAATATAATTTAACGAGCTATATTTTTTAATGCTTGTTGAAGGCTCATGAACCCTAATAAAATAAATCATTTATGCATTCATGCAACCCACCAAAAGTAAGAAATTCAACGTTATATATTATATATTAGCCATATTGCCACCCAGTCAGCTACCACTTTCGAATGTATGAGACAATGTACTCTTTCTAATGTTTCATAACTTCGTATTTTTGTTAAAATAATTGGCACTTGGTAACACCCCTGTAGACATGATCAATTTTATTGGTCAACAGACACGCGGCCAATTTAAACTCTTGCTTCTCGAATTTTTCTTTTTTCTGCAAATATAAACCGATTAGGCTTGATAAGTATAATATACCCTTAACTCGATCAGTCTATAAGCAAACCAGTATCATTTTCAATAACATGAAACAAGCCCATTAATGTGTTCTTTCCAAGTCAATTCATGGTTTATTGTAACTGCTAAAAATGTTATTGATCCAGTTTGCTGAATTATTTGTTGATTAATTTTTGTAGTGAAACTAGGATCATTACTAATATTTTTGGGTGGAAGTGTCCTGAATATTTTTTATATTAACAAATAATTAATTCATTGGTGTGACAATAATCATAAAATGCTTGGGCGCTTATGTTTGCCTTTGCATAACACTCTTAAACTATTAGATTTTTTAAGCAGACGTTTGTGTCATTGGGAATACAATTTCTAAATCTGATTGTTTTTACTAAGTCAGTCAGGTCATTGAAGAATACTGTGAATAAGAGCGGCCCAAGTGCGGAACCCTGAGGTACTCCCGCGTAACATATTGTATGTCAGATATAATACATTTTTCATCTTGATTTCATTATGGTTCTTATCAAGAATTGGACGTTATATCTTTGCTATATACTCTTTTGTCATTTCAGGCGGTTGCAGCTTCAAGGCATCCTGCCCACAGAAATGCAGAGGCTCTCGAAGTACCCTCTCTTGCTCGAAAGGCTGATGCACAGCATCGAATCGTTAGACAGTGAACATTCGCAACAAGAAGAATTGTCAAGGCTGAAGAGAGCCCACCACATGTCTAAAGAAATTCTCAACCATGTGAACGAAGCCGCCAAAGTGGCGCACAACAAACATAGGTTAGAAGAAATACAAAAGCATCTCGACACCAGTGCTTTCGAAAGGTCCGATCACATAGCGCAAGAATTCCGGACGTTGGACCTAACGAAATATAGGTAAGAGCTTTTTTTGAATGTACCAGGTCTGTTGAAAAAACTAGTTGAGTTTTCATTGTTTTTTGAATTCCTCAGAATGTTTATATGAGGAATAAAGGTTAAACTGGAATCTCTTGCGTATAATAAATCCAAAACGAGCACTATTCCCACGCACCACTGCAACCTATTTTCGATGCGTCTTCCAAAGATGAAGAAAACTGAAGATGTTAACTTGGTTGACAAACATATATCGAGAAAAGTGACTGGGAACAGTGCTTGTGTTGGATCTAAATAAGGTATCACTTTTCAAGTAAGAGGAATATTTCATTGAGACTGAATACTGATGGGTTCCTGTGAAGATAAAAACCCCAATCTCAAGAAAAGTAAAAAGCTGTATACGTTTCTTTAAATTTTTTCAAGTTTTTTGACGGTAATTGAATGTGATTATTCACAACTGCATTGATTTTTCAGGTTAATTTTGGAGGGTGGTATGCAGCTGAAAAGGCCGAACAAACCCATTGTACCAGTACACATCCTGCTGTTGGAAGAAGCCGTCATCATTCTCCAACGGGAAGGCGACAGGTTCCTTTTGAAGTTTTTCCAATCTGGTTCAGCCGCCCAACCTCAACCCCTCTCTCCAATTATAAAAATGAGCATGTTACTAGCTAGGACGAATGCTGTTTGTGAGTAAACATTTTTCAGAACTAGACGAAATACAAATTTGTTCAGGACTTTTCGATTCCAATAATTTTTTCTGGTACAACTATAGACAATTTTGATTGATTACACCTCATTGGCAATAATGGTAGTTGAATAAATTGATATTGAGTGTAAGATTTTCACAATAGGTTCCATAAATTAAAAATCTCAAGAAAATACTAGCAAACATATTTTGATTTCTGCAGCATCTATACAGCAAGCGCCAAACATGATGGCCCACCCATGCACACAAACTCATTTTCAATGTAACCCCCACTACAGCTCTAGCGAAACATATGAATGCTCTGTTCAGAAACGTATCATGACTTGTCCTCCAATGCTGTTGGCGTTTGGCATTGTCTGAATAATTGGTGTTGTTTCTGAAAAAATGTCATCGCCTAACAAAATACCAATCATCAAGAGTGTATCATTATATAACATTTAAAGAACTATACTACTACCCGTAATACTAAATAAAATATGAAACTAAATTACAAAGAAGTCATGTTTCATTTGCTACCCTAATTAAAACTAATTATAGGTACGACAATGGCCAGCAAGGGGCTTATCGTAATCCAATAGTAATTTAGTTGGGAGAGTCTATACCTACGCGATCGCTCGCTATCACGTTTGGCGCTTGCTATAACAACATTTAGAGTCTGCGAATTCATCTATTTCCTCAGAAAAAAGAAGAAATGTTCCAACTTGAGTTTTAGTCAGAACATTTTGTTGGGATCCTTTAATCTGAAAACTGGTTTTGGACAAAAATTCGTTCTGCATAATCAATTCAATATATATCATTTGATTTCTCAAAATTGAAGAAATGAATTAAAAATGAATGTATATTTAACAAATATTTGAAAGTATGTTTATTGAATTTTATATAAAAACAATTAATTGATAGTTTTTATTTTCTTTCAACATTTCCTATTGTTAATTTAACCATCCATTGATAACTTCTTCGTTTTATCTATGTTTGTGTGTGTGCCGCGATACTTGTGAATATGTGTATATACACTTGTGAGTATGTTTGCATGTGTGTGTGCCTGTATACATGTGTGTATGTGTGCACCGCTATACATATGTGTGTGCGCGTGCGCCAATATACATGTGTATAGAAGTGTATGTGTGCTAGTATATGTATGTGTGTATATGTATAGATGTGTATATATGTATGTGTGTGTGCTGTGCGCCTGTATGTATGTGTATATGTATTATATTGAGTTGGGTCAATCTCATGTTTTTGCAAAGAAAGTTCTTGGCAAAGCAAAAAAGGAATCTGTAAAGCACCAGGGTTTCTGTGCATTTTGAATGCTCAGAGTGGTGTAGAGTTTTATTTAATCATGTTACATACAAATACATTTATTGCAGGTCACAATACATTAAAAAAATCCAGTGAAAGTAAAATTATTGTTGAAATTATCATTTAATGCTTAAAGGTTATAATATATTATGGGTATTTGAACGAACTTGCTTGGTTTATATATATTCCATCATATTGTAGATTGCAAATAAGCTTAAAAAATGATGAAAGGAATCTAACTTCATACAATAAGCATTCGGTACTAGAGTCGTAGATGGCGCTTCGAGTGATAAGAATTATAATTTCTGATGATATGATTTTGAAAAGCTCTCAGTATAAAGGATAAATCTTTGCCCAATAACAGCCAGATGTATGATCTGATAGCCGAGGATGAGATAAAAAGAGAAGTGTAAGTACTTTATTTAAATTAAATGTTGCCATATATGTTCATTTAGTTTTTTTTAAACATGGACCTCCAGTTTTTTTATCGATTTTTGTAGCCACTGTAATAACAAACTCAGCTACGTATTTATTTATTCAAAGTGAATCTACGGAACCATATACAATTCAAAATGGCATATAAACAATATAGACAACAGTATAAATAATAGAGAATATAAAAAGAGAAAAACAAGCACAAAGCAAAACAAAACCAATTAGAAACAAATTGAAAATAGCAACTAGGACAACTTAAGAATATCTTGCTTTTCGAACCAGGCAAACGTCAAATGTGTTATGTCAAGGGATGAGAAGTTTTCAGTATAGTTTCTTTGCAATCTTGTAGTGAAAGCAGTATTTCCATAATTGGTTCGATAGTTTCACATATAGAAAAACCATCATTGACGGGTGGTTTTGACACTGACATGAATGAACAGTCCCTTTAATATATCAGAACAGTCTATTGAATTGTTTATGACTTGTGAAGGAAATATATCATGGCAAGTTTATGCCTATCCTCAAGAGTTTGGGGGTTGACTATTGTAAGCCTAGTATGCGTATCAATTTCCTGAAAATACAAACTCATTTTCCAAATTAAGAATTTTGTGAATCGCCCTTGTACTTATTCTAACCTTTCTTTATGACTTTTATAATGGGGTGACCAGATAATACTATTTATATTCTAGAATACTACAAACTAGTGATAAATACGACTTTATTGCATCCAGATCAAAATATTTGTAGTGTATGTCTTTTGATGAATCCTAGCATTCTTAAGGCTTTGATACAAATATTGTTTACATGATTATTGAAGTTCAGATTTTTGTCAAACACAATTAACAGGTCACAAATATTATCTACAAGTTGTAACATAGAGTCATCAATGAAATAGTTCCGCTCAAAAGTGTTACATGCAATTTAAAGAAACTCATCACCTTTCACTTTCCCACATTGATGTTCAGAAAGTTCATTTTGCAGTAGTTGGAAAAATCTATATCGGTCTGAATCATTTGACAATCCTCCATGCAGGTAACTTCCCTACAAAANTATTCAAAAGTAATTGTAACTTTAAGGTTTTTTCAAACATAATAGGTTGTTCAAAAGTTTTCTCCCTTTTTATGAGTCTACTTTAAACGTGAGTTTGAAGTAGACGTGACGATCCGATCCAAAATTGGATCGTTTCCTTTGCGCAAAACCAAAAAAACAGACCTGACACCCACGTTTCGATCTTTTTGACTTTTCCAAAACGATTTAAACTATTAAAACCCATGGGAGCTGACGCCCAGTTCTTCTACCATTCCACGCACCATTTGTGATGGGTCAGTCTCCACCAGGGTCCTCAAATCCTCGTCCTGGATTACTGTAGGTCGACCACTTCGAGGCTCATCTTCCAAGCTAAAACCTCCGTAAAGAAATTTCGCAAACCAACGTCGAACAGCGCGTTTTTTAACACCATCATTGTCATATATCTAGTTAATTTTTTGGGTTGTTTCGACAGCGCTTTGGTTCAATTTGAATTTGTAGAGAAATATTAGCAAAAAATCGCTCAGCGACATCATATAGTAATGAGCTGAAAAAAGGCAAAAAATTGAAATCTGGAAAAAATGAACAGCATCAATGTTTAGATTACAACATTATCTATCGATCAGTATTTTTTGCGATATGGAGCTACAAAAACAAATGATATTGAAACGGACAAAAGTTTTGAAACAACCTAATATTCAAAACGGGAAAAAAAACAAAAAGAAATTAAATTTACTCCAATTTACTCAAGAGGCTTCGCATCCTGCTGTGTTTACAATCTCTAGCCAAAATGTCAATTAGGCATAATATCTCTGAAAATACACTTTTCCAGATTCATTCAATAAGTCGAAGCAAAATAAAAAATTCATTCAAAGATCAATTGATCGACTGATTAACCTTTTTATTTGTTGTCCAGTGACAGGCTGTCAGAAAGTCCGAGCAACAGTATAGATGCAGTGGTTCAGGCGGCAGCACTACGTGGTACTGTCGACTCAGATAGCGATATTGATGCTGAGTCGGAGCAGTGGCAAAGTTTGGTCCCACCTGAAGAGCTGAAAAATCTACCTGCCCACGAGAAAAAAAGGCAAGATGTGATAAACGGTGAGTAATAGACCATGTCAGATGAGAATTTCATTAGGAGCATCTGTTTTATGTTGGCTACACTGTGTACCTGTCATTAGTGTCAGTTGTCATTTTAATTTCGGTTCCGTGGTGGCCGTGTTGAATTTTGAATATTTATATTTGCATTCTCCTTACCTGAAAAATCATTTAGTGAAATTAGGCTAACCAGAAATTCTGAGAATAGCGACGAAAGCTTTTGACTAACATGAGAAAAACATTCATTACTTGCTTATAAGTAAGTGTGGACATTTTCCTTCAAAAAGACGCCGTCTGTGGTAGCAATAGACTACTTAAAATACATTTCTGCAATCTGAAAAAGCGTAAAAAAATTAAAACTGCAGTCGGTGTGATTTGAACCCATAGTCACTGGTTTACAAGCAACCTACCAAGGTTCCAACGAATTAGCGTGACATAATTTAGGTTTATAACTTAGATTTTGTTATCAAGTGACGAACTTTTGAACAGTATCAATTTCTCACCTCCATCGGAAGATCTATTTCAGGTGCTTTGTTTATCAAGGAATTCTCATTGAAAACTGTATTTTTTCAAGAAGATCTACGAGTTCAATGATAGAGTGTGGAGTTTGAGAACAACTCTCAAGTAAATCCATTCTCCAGGCTCACTTGTCAATGAAAATTGAAGGCGTGGCTCATCTGTAATTGATATTGAAGGTGTTGAGTAATGGATCCTTGTCTAGGTAAAATTGAAAACATTATTTTTCAAGAAGATCTATGAGTTCAATGATAAGAGTGTGGAGTTTGAGAACAACTCTCAAGTAAATCCATTCTCCAGGCTTACTTGTCAATGAAAATTGAAAGCGTAGCTCATCTGTGATTGATATTGAAGGTGTTGAGTAATGGATCTTTGTCTATGTAAAATTGAAAATTTTATTTGTCAAGAAGATCTATGAGTTCAATGATAGAGTGTGGAGTTTGAGAATAACTCTCAAGTAAATCCATTCTCCAGGCTCACTTGTCAATGAAAATTGAAGGCGTGGCTCATCTGTGATTGATATTGAAGGTATTAGGCCTTCAGCAGAGAGCAGTGCGTGTTCTTACAAATTTAGAGTATCGTGCTGAAGTTAGAGATAAATTCATAGAATTGAAAATACTTACCATTCCATCGAGATATATATATGAATGTATATTATATGTCCAAGACAATCTCTATTCTTTTCCAAATGTACATGGGAATATCATCTGCTCCAGAGGATTTCTTATTTTTTAATTTATTCCCTAATAAGGATAATAGTTCAGTTTCAGTGAATGGTTTCAAGTTGTTTTCTGATAGACGTCAGTCCATTCAAATTACTGTGTAGGTATATCCTAGACAGGCTTGAACATTCAAAGTTCATTTCTTTAGATTTGTTTACTGCCAGTCTTCAAACATAGCCCGCTGATTGATAAGATCGGTCAATTTGTTAGACACCAGCTTCGAAAGCCTTTACTCCAACACTAGAACAGTTGAAGTTTGCTGATCACAGCTTTGATATGATCAGAGGAGCTCAATTTTTTATCAATAACGAATCCTAAAATCCCAACAATTGGTTTGCTGCTTATCAGCAGCAAACCAATTGCTGCTTATCAGCAGCAAACCAATTAATTATATGCTAATGTTTCGCTATCTCGCGTCATTAGTTGTAAGCTGGTTAAGTCTTTGCTAGAGCATAGTAAACTCATATCATCTGCAAACAAGGTTTCATAAAACTGCATCGACATAGACCTAAAACTGAGCTTTGAGGAACACCATGCTTGTTTTATTTCTTTGTGGTCTGACTTTGTTGGTCCCTTCAAAATATTGGTACCTATGTGATATAAAAAAAACGTATAGTTTTGAACTACCTTACTATTCAAAATTTGAAAGAGAACTGTTTTGAATTGAAGGGGTTATATTTTTAGGAGTGATTAATTTTTTGGGAAAGAAAGTTTTTGGCTTTCTACTACTCCATCTGATACAAAAAAAGGGATGAGAGAATCTTCCAAAGAAAGGAAGGA